ATGATGATGATGATGATGATGATGATGATGGTGGCAATGAGCATGATGATGCTGATGCTAATGTTGTTGATGGCGATGATGATGCTGATTATGATGCTGATGGTTGTGGTGGTGGTGGGTTTGGTGGTTGAGAGGAAGAGATGAGGATGCTGATGATGCTGATGCTGCTGATGCTGCTGATGCTGTTGATGCTGATGATGGTGGTGATGCTGATGATGATGCTGCTGATGATGGTGGTGGTGATGATGATAATGCTGCTGATGATGCTGCTGATGATGATGCAGGTGATCATGATGCTGATGATGATGAGGCTGATGATGACGAGCTGCTGCTGACGACGATGATGATGAAGCATCAGGACGATGATGATGCTGATGATGATGACGCTGATGATGATGATGCTGTACATGAACATGCTGCTGAATCTTATGATGGTGGTGGTGATGATGATGATGGTGGTGGTGGTGTTGGCAGTCTTGGTGGTGATGCTGCTGATGATGATGATGGTGATGATGAATGTGATGACGATGTGATGGTGATGGTGATGGTGATGGTGATGGTGATGGTGATGGCGACGATGATGATGCTGATGCTGCTGATGATTATGATTAGGATGATGATGCTGATGATGCTGAGGCTGATGATGACGATGGTGCTGCTGATGAGGATGATGAGTATATGATGATGAATCTGAGTATGATGATGATGATGATGATGATGATGATGATGATGGTGGTGGTGGTGGTGGTGGATGATGATGATGATGATGATGATGATGATGATGATGATGATGATGATGATGATGATGATGATGATGATGATGATGACCGTGGTGGTGGTGATGATGATGATGATTATCGTGGTGGTGGTGATGATGATGCTGATGATGATGATGATGATGATGGTGGTGGTGGAGGAGGAGGAGGAGAGATGGGTGCTCGTTGAACAGTCCTGCCTACAGAAATTGGTCATGACGAGGCTGTGGCACCTTAGCGCTTTCGCTTCTCGACCCCCGGCCACCCGTGGAGCACCGGGCTCGCCAGCCGCGCTTCGGCCGCCCGCGGGTGGGATCGTCCGGCTGCCAGGAGGCGAAGAGGGGCGCGGGGCCTGCCTTGTCGCCTTTCCTTCTTCCGTGCGGCGCCAGGCATGTCGGCCCGCGCCTGCGCCAATTTCGGGGCCACGGACTTCTTCGTGGTGCACGAGGCCAGGCGCAGGAGCAGGGCCAGCGGTGCAGACAGAGCCGATGGGACGATGCGGGTGCAGACGATGCGACGGCGACGGCGCCGATGAGGATCAGATGCGGGGTTTGTGGGCGGAGGAAAAGGAAGAGGGCGAGGGGGGCAGGGGGGAGGGAGGGCGAAGGAGGGAGAGACGGAGGCAAATGGAGAGAGATGGTGAAATGGAGGGGGCAGCCAGAGGGGGTAAGGAACTTTTGAGAGAAGGAGTATGCGGGGGGGGGCGGTGGAGGAGTTTGTGGAGGAAGGGGGTCCTTGAGATGGGGACGAGGCCGACGAGGATGATGAGGAGAGTGTGAGGGGGAGGAGGGAGAACAAGAGCAAGAAGGGGACATATCAGTAGTACCAGGAAGGAGTTCGCACTGCACTACACAAATTCTCATTTCCAAAAAAGAGCGGGCGCTACCACCATCCCGAGCTCGGACATGGCCGCCCCCTGGGGTCTTGCAGTGTACATATGATCCGGCCGCACCTGTCGTTTTCCGTATAGATTCGTACCATCCGAGCCATGCTGGTATCGACACCACCTTTCACCTCCGTGCAATGATGCCATGCACGCGCGTTCGTTTACGTCAATTGATACATTTTCCGTAGTTCTTGCAACACACCTCGAAATCCATGCGCGTGCACATGGTCAACTCATGCTCGTACACATTGTTTGCAAGCGTTGCATCGCATCAGCTTTAAAAGTGCCCATTACAACAGTTCAATCCTTGCCAGACTTTCGGCCCGTGCGCACTTGTTCACGTCGAAGGCCAACCAGACACTTTGCACCGTCTTATCCAGAACCTCACTCCTTTTCCCTCTAGTTCTCTTCTGGGGGGGGGGGGGAGGAAGCGGGAAAAACCGCCCCCCCCCAGAGAAAAAATCTGGACCTCCGGGCTCCGTGGCCTCGGCCCCCCCCCAAACCTCACTTTAAACCACACGCCTTTTTTTATTACGCGGTGCGTCGGCCTTGATCTAGCATGCGCTCAGTGCGCGAATCCGCATCGCGTACCTGCCTGCGGGCCAGCGCGCGCCGCCGCGCGCGCGCCCCACTTCATGGAGATCTACGACATCACAGGAGCAACCATTTTTTGTTTTGTTTTGTTTTTATCGCAAGGTCTGCTAGATTTCGAAGCACTGCTCGCGCGCGTACTTCCCCGCCACCTGCGTCAGCGCCATCGCGTCACTGCCGCTGTCGTCATCGCCCATTTTGTCTTCCAGTCATTGTCACAACCGACACATGGGCCTCATCGTTATCGTCGTCGCAACCAGGGGCGACGCCGTCATAGACTTTGTGGTCGTCGTTCTCGTCAGCATCGCTACCGCCGTCGGTGTCATCGCCATCGTTGCCGCCGTTGTCGACGTCACCATAATGTCGCGACCCCCCGGCGTGCCCGACCCGCACTGAAGTGCCCGCGAGCAAGCGCGGCCCTGGACGGACTTTCCCGTCGCTGAACGCCATCGCGGCTGCAACAGTTGCGCCCGACCAGCTGGTCGCTCTGGGGGCGAGCGCGCGCGCGCGCGCTAGCGCGGCCGCGTGGACCAGCTAGTGGGTTCCAGTAAGGGCCCGCAGTCGTTGCCGAATGTATTCGCCCAACAGGTTGCGGTAGGGAGAGTGGGATACCTGCACGGGCCGTGGAGCTCACGTCTTCAAGACGGCGGGAGGCAGTTACAGCGCGTAGCCGACACCGCGTCGTTTGCACTTCCAGATCACACCGCACATCGTGGCTTTGAACAATACATCGACCCATTTACCATCCCGAGCCCCAACTTGAACGTCCACCCCGGGGTATTTTGAGTTGCGCGCGATTCTGCCACATTGTTTATTCCAGGCGAAAGCATGTTGTCCCAGCCAGGCCAGTACCGACACCCCTTTTCGCCCCTAACAGATACCACGCGCGCGCACTCGCTTATTTCGTCATAATTCCAATACCCCTGTGGAACACATCACAAAATCCTCGCTCGCGCATGTCGAACTTGCATAGGATTTTTTCATGCGTTTCAGCGTCACAACTTCAGGTGCACATTTATGTCTTCATCTAATTCTTGCATGCTGTCTGTCCGCCCGCACTTTCTGAACGTATGGGAAGGACGCATCATCTTAGTTAGTGTTCCCATCGTGAGCCAGCATGCTCATTGTACCACGTGGTGCATCCGCGTTGTTTTAGCATGCATCTAGTGCGCAAACCCGTATCAATTGATTCCATGCGGGCCACATGCGCGCGTCACAATTCCCGCGTGTCAATATATTTTTGAAACCATTCGGTTTTCGACGCATTTCGAGGCAGAGCTTTTCAAACCAAGAAAATCGACCACGTGTTTTTCAACAACCAGTTCGCCATGTCGTTAGTCCTTTTGCGCCCGCGTACTCCCCCACCGCCCACATCAGCACCATCGCGTCACCACTGGTACCGTCATCGCCAATCGCCGCCATTGCCGCCATCATCATCACAGCCACTTGCATGATCGACGCATCGACATCATCACCGTCCTCGTCGTCACCAGCCTCGGCGCCCGTCATGGGCCTAGCCGTCGTCATCGTAATCATCGCCACCACCAGCGATATCAAAATCCACCGTTGCCGCCGTTGTCGACGTCATCATGCTGTCTCGCCCGCCCGAGTTACTTACCCTCACTGAAGCACCCGCGCGGCCAGCGCGGCCTTGGAGACGCGCTGGGGAGTTCCCATCGGTCAGCGCCGTCGCGGCGGCATCACTTGTGCCAAACCAGCCATTCGCTGTGCGCGCGAGCGCGCACGCGCAACTGCGGCCGTGGACACGCGGTGGCATGTTTCAATCGAGAACTGCAGTCGTGGCCGAAAGGATTTCGCTAGACAAAATGCGGGTGGGCTGGTGGGCGGGATGTTTGCACGAGCAGAATGGCATTGACAATTTCGAATTGTGCAAACATCAGCCACGCCGCATAGCCCTCGCTTCCCCAGTGTAAGGACGCAGCGTTTGGGGTCCACGCTGGCTCACACATGCTTGCACGTTTGCGATATCGTGGCCGCGGAAGCAGACGGCACCCTGTGTGGAGAGGTGCCCAAGGTGTTGCAGCAACGACGCAGCAATAACCCTCCCGTTCTTTTGTATGTTTTTTTCAACATGTTGCACCCGCTGAAGCGCTGGCCTCATTTTCGGGCTTCCGCTCGTTCTGAATCGTGCTCCCGCTGCAGCGCTGGCGCCATTGTTTCCAGTGCCATGCCGCGGCATGCAATGCAATGCAATGCTATGTGGTGTTCCGCTGTGCGATGCCATGCCTTCAGCTGCATTGCTAGGATATGCAGTGCTTGACTACGCAGTGCCACACCATGAAATGCGATGCTACGCTTTGTTCGCCAACGCAATGCTATGTCATGTTCTTTTCTGTACCGCTGTGCGATGCCAGTCTTTGCGCTGCAATGCTTTGTGATGCAATTCTTCACTACGCAACGCCACGCCATGCTATGACATACTACGCTCTGCCGTGCTCTACTACGCCCTGCTATGCCGTGCTCTACGCACCCTGTCGGGATCAATGCCCTGCTCGACATCCGACTGTGCGAATAGAGAGGAGATCTTCGCCATGGTAAGGGATGGGAGGGATGGACAGGACGTCAGATATGACGCGAGCGCAGCTAGATTGACCTTGCCCCTCCCCTCTGCTCTCCCCCCTCCCCCCTCTCCCTCCCCGCTGAAGACCCTCAGCGCCCAGGCCAAGTTCCAGGCCGCGCTGGGCCGTGCTGGGCGATCCGAAGAGAAGGCGCGGCAGCTGGGCGTTCAGGTGGGCGCGGGCGAGGAG